AGCACATGCCATGTGCTCGTGCAAAATCACACGGACACAAGAAAACAATAAATAAAAAATCAAGTACTCGTGTGATATTACGCGAGCACACGCCATGTGCTCGCGTAATATCACACGAGTACTTGAAGATTCGAGAAAAAAACGAAAATATTACCTCCGAGTCTATATTTGTTGGATCCATTTTAGAAATTGTTGAATATCTAATTTTTTTTGCAATGAATGTTGAAATTTGGTTTTTAAAGAATTATAGGATTTAAAAATAAAAATGTAAAATGGTAAAAACTTAAAGTAAAAAGGTAAAAAATTATGGTAAAAATGTGTCTGTTCGCCAAAATAGCGCCTGCGTATATAACCACCCTTAAAAAAAAAGGTTCATTTGACATACCGGTGTTCATTAAATTAGAGAAAAATTCAACCCTAATTTATTTTTTTCGATATCAGATAGAGGCAAAACAACTATGTTGCCCTCGATCGAATATTAGTGCAAGTGAACAAAAAATTGATGAAATTTTAAAATACTAAAAAATAAAAAAAATTAATAGAGTGAGGCCATAGCTGCGGATGCTATGAAATTGTAGACCAAATTATCAAGTACTCCCACCCCACGCGCTGTTAAGTGTATATTTTTACACTTTATCGTATCTTTTTATTTGAGCTTTTGGTGTGTTTTAACGATAATTGGTGCTTAAAAAGTTGATTTATCGTATTTTAGGTACAAATTGAAGAATTGGAAAAGTATAGGGTCAAAACTGCAATTTTGGCGAAAATATGGGTCAAAACTGAAAATATCAAAATTCTGAAGAAACAATGCTGAGACCCCCGTCCCAGTTTTAGGCTAAATCATGGGACCCCCGTCCGAGACTCCGAAATTGCGCAGTAAAGGAATTTTAATTGCACAAGGAAACTGCCTTCTTCCCCAAGTTCTTCACCCTATATAAGACCAAGCCAAGCACACAATTGGGGATCCATCTTTGGACGCAAAATCAAGAGCAAAGAAGATCAACGAAGATTCAAGCATAGTTTTTCTTATTTAATTTATTTATTTTATTTTATTTATCATAAGAATTACGAGTAGCTAAGTCTTTATTTCTAGGATTTTATTTGGAACCCTATGTGGGATTTATGAACCCTTTTCTATGATTTTATGCAAGTTTTAATTCCGGATTATTTATTCTACTTGTTTTATTAAGTGCATGAACTTGATCAACTTATGTGCTTTTATGTTATTGTTAATCGCATGAATCGGAAGATCGGGTTAATAATTAGAACTGTGGTAGAAGAGCCTTTGTGGTATTAACATAGGAATATAGTTAATCTCTTAGGTAGCCATTATTGAGATTTGTGCTTAATGCTGTGTTCTAGAATTAATTGCATAGGAATATAGTAATTGAATCTAGAGTATTAGAATCGTAATACACGCGGAAGCGGGTTATGATTATATTAGCATCTCAGGTTAATAATCCGGATTAATTGCTTGTATAATTGAAGGAATTGGGGGAGTAATAATCACATAGGGGGAAGAATAAAATCCTAGGCTTGTCTACTTTGATTAATCTTCGTTTTTAAATTGCTTTCGTGTTCTTGTCTTTTTAATTTGCTTTTTAATATAGTTTAATTTAGTTAATCTTTTCCAAATTCGACTGTGTAGGGTGGGCTTGAAAACAATTGGTCGAATTTAGCGTCTAGGATTAGATAATTAAATATTCTCTGTGGGATCGATACTTGGACTTAAAAAATCCACTTTATTACTTGTACGATACGTGCACTTGCGTGTAGGTTTTCGACCAACACGCGCCTCCTAGCAAAACCCTAGTCGGCATCAATCATCTAAGGTTCTGCACGCGCCATGGAAAAAATCACAGAAAAAGTTTTGACAATCAAAATTAAACGAAATTATCAATAAAAGATAGGCTTCGACGAGAGGAATTCAATAGTTGGTAGCCCATGAAATTTTGACTGTCGGAGAATAAATTGTCCCTTCGAGAAAACCAGTCGTCATTGAAATACGTGTGCAAGGTAAAAGGATTGTAGAAACAGATTCATAACTCCTTTGTGTATGTATAGTATAGAAAATAAAGTTACAACTTCGAGAAACACCATCGTCGGTTGGAAATTTATGGGGCCAAAATTCGGATTTGAGAGAGAGATACATTTGTGGGTTGACATGGTTTTAAAACTGATTTTGTAGGAGCGATTTTGAAAAGTGACAAATCGACCGAGACTTGCAAATTGGAATGTTCTTGAGACGACATTTTTGGGTTGTACACGGTATAGTAATCTCCCAATATATGACAGTCGGATACTTCGATATTTGCACAAATACGGAGCCCACGGCAAACTCGAAACATAGGAGCAAAATTTTGACGGAAAAAAAATTAGGAATGACTTCTTAAATGTCTTTGTTAAATCGTATACAAATTGGTTGGATTTTGTCTTTATGATATTTAAGCGTCACTTTATGGAGGGTTTTGTTGTTTTGAATGTAATCAATTAATGAAGAGATGTGTTATTTAGAAAGAAACCAATTCATTAAAAAATAAAAACACAACTATTCAAAATATCTTAACAAATTATATGTAAATAAAAATTCTAACAAATCTTTTTATAAAATACACCATAATTTTCTTACTCTCGATTGGTTAACATACCGGACTTATAACTTTGAAAATATCTTTTGTTCGATCCGTTTTAATCTAACCAAACTCAACTGAATTACTCATAATTCAAATTTAACTCGAACACAATTTTTAAATTAAAATGTCTTTTATTAAGTTTAAACAATCACGTACTCGAGACTTATTAACTAGTATATTTGACAATTTAATAGCATATCAAGACAAGTTGCTTGCCATGCAGGGCATGCCAGCCATCTATATTACAAAAATATACATCAACCAACCCAATTGCCTAATACTATAATAAGGTGCAATTATTCATGAAAATAAAATAAAAATTGATTTGACTCACAAAACCCCATATCTCAATATAAATGCATTTGTTTAAAAAAAAAAAAAAAGAAGAAGAGCAAATAACACTTAAAACCCCTATAGTTTAAGCTTTGTGCATATAATCCCTTCTACTTTCAATATAAGTATTTGACCCCCTGCAATTTGAACTTTGTGCACATGACCTCGTTGTATTTTTAATATAAGCACATAATTCTCTTACGGCATTCCACTTGATAAATAGTCATGCTCGTTAGGAAGATTTTGTATTTTTTTTAAGTATAAGAGAGTTATTTGTTTGTATTAAAATTCAAGGAGGTCGTGTGTCATATTAAAAATACTAAGGAGCTATATGCATAAAGTTCAAACTATAGGGATTAAAAGTGCGATTTATAAAAAAGAGAAATGTGTTTCACACTTCTCTTGCGTTCCAAGAAATTCATCACCTGAATCGAAAAGAAAAATAGTTAACTGATTAATAACGAGGGTGACGTGTCAAGGGTCCTCTTCATCGTTGTCAACTCGTTTGAACGTAAACCAGCCTCTCGACTTGCAGAGTTTATGAAGAAGTACCACCCAATCCCGGCGGCGGTCATCAGTCCGCTCACCAGATAAACAGTCTTCGTCGCGATCGCCATTATCACCACCAGGAACACCGCCGGAACCAGGCACATCACCACCAGCGCCGGCAATCCGAGCGGCACCTTGTACGGCCTCTTCATCGCCGGAAACTTCCTCCTCAGCCACAGAAACGACGCGAACTCCAGAAGCATCCCCAAGCTGTACAGGAAATTCGCCGACGCCACGATGTCCGTGTAGCTCATGTACGAAACCCCAAGCGCAATCGCCGTCGAGAGCACAATCCCCACCCACGGAGTATTGAACCACTTCGATCTCAGCGCGAAGAATCTCGGCAGGAAAGCCAGATCCGCCATCCCGAGAAGCTGGTACGCGCTGCTGCTCAATTGAGCCTCGAACAATCCAATCGCAGATAATACGGCCCCGATTTCGATCCAGAATTTCAGCCAGCTGCCGGAGATCATTTTCGCGGCGTCCGCCATGAATCCCGTCTCCCAATCGTTCTGATCGACCAAAACGGCGCCGGTTACCGCCACGAGAGGGATGATGTAGCCCAAACAGGTCAAAATCACGGCGCAGAGTAGCGCTAAGGGGAATGTTTTGTGAGGTTTATCGACTTCTCCGGCCATTGTGCTTACATTATCCCAAAAATTGAGATTCCAGAACAGAGTATTGAAGAACAGAGTCCAGTCCTTTTTTACGCCCTTTTGACCTAGGCTAATCCAACGGCGGGGGTGGATCTGGGGAATTGCGATTGCGGACATAATCAGAAAGGGGGCTAATGAAACAACCCCTAATCCGACGGCGAAGTATCCGACGATGGCTAATCCGGTGTAATTAAGGAAGGAGAAGACGAGGGTGAAGGTGATTATGGCGAGGTTACGGGGGAGGCCAGATGCGAATATTGGGAATATTCGTTTGAGGTAGTCGATGCAGAGAGCGGGGAAGGCGGCGATGTTGATTACGCCGCTGAGGAATTTCAGGGTTCCCATAAGGGAGCCGAAGAAGGGGCCGAAGGCTTTGTCGGCCCATATCACGAAGCCGCCGTTGCCGGGGAACGCGGTGGAGAGTTCCGCCGTGATTAGGGCTTCGGGGATTGACCAGATGAAGGGGAATATTAGGAACCCTAGGATTGCGAGGAGTGGGCCCGCCGCTTGAACGGCGGGCTCCTCGCCGTATGGGCCGCCGGCGACTTCGAAGTAGATGAGGAAGATTAGGGGGATGAGGGTGAGTTTCTTCGTTTTGGTGGCGGCGGTGGTGGTGGTGGTTATGGGGAGGAGGAGTGGTGGTGATGGGGTGTCGGTGGACATTGTGGTGGTTGTGGTGGCGGTGGTGGTGGGTGGTGGTGGTGGTTGTTGGATTTCTCCGGGGAGGGGTTTTGTTGATTGGTTAGACATGTTGATAGATAGGGATAATTAGCAGAAGTATTAATGGAACTCGGGTTTATTCAATGAGTGGATAGGGAGTGAGCGGGTTGCTGGATTTACACTACCACTCCTCCATTTATTTCAAATTATTCTCTTTTTTTTTTTTTATGTATTATGAATTTATAATATATAGTTTATTGGGAAAATTTATAATATATAGTTATTGGGGAAATTATAGTTTTTACCCCTCAAGTTTGCATTATTTCATATTTGGTCCTTCATGTTCACAAGAAACATATTTGATCTTTCATGTTTCAATAATTTAACATTTTTGGTCATTTCCGTTAATTTAACGTTAGTCGGTCAGTTGAGGTGGTGATGAGCAAAGGCTTGATTTGTAAGTTTCAACGGAAAGGACTACAGTGTTGCATTTTCTAAACATGAGGGATGAAATGTGTTTTTTATGAACAATAGGGACCAAATGTGGAATAAGTGCAAACTTGAGGGACGAAAACTGTATTTTTTCCTGTAAATACAGTTTTTATCCTTCAAGTTTGCACGGATTCCATATTTAGTCACTTGTGTTCGTAAAAAATACATTTGGTCCCTCATGTGTCAAAATTCAACACTTTTAGTATTTTCTGTCAATTTTCCGTTAGTAGGAAATGTATCAAGCGTGTGCCATCATTGCCTTAACTAACGGTAAATTGAAGAAAATGACAAAAAATGTGAAATTATTTAAACATGATTCATGGAGGATCAAATATAATTTTTTATGAACGTGGATGATCGAATGTGTAATCAGTGCAAACTTGAAGGATAAAATTTGCAATTTTGCCATATATATTCAATGATTAAATACAAATTACACCATTGTCATTGTACTATCATCAATGTCGCATATACCCCTATGTACTATAAAATGCTAGAAAATAGTCCCTGCCGTTAAACTATATTAAGGAATCCTTCATTTTTTCTCCGATAAAACAATAATTTATTTTCTTACGTGCTAGCTTGGCACATGTTCTTGTGCACCTACCAACTATTTGAAGTTAATTTGTATTATCTTACTCAATGATCATCCAATTATAGTGTATGTTTTTTTTATCACAACTATTATGTTTTAAATACTATTTTTATTGATTTTTTTTTATAAATGATCATTACAACATGCTAAAGCAATTGATAATTGACTTATATAAATTATGCATGTTGTGTAAACATAAGATAAACGAGATAAATCACGAAGATATAATATTTGCGAATCGACTCAGTAAATTATTGGAGATACCAAACATTAATAAAGTTCAATTATTTATTTAATTATAACTAATCTTCTCAACCAAACGAAACATTAATAGTCAAAATTATGTATTGTTTTTTTAATTGACAAGATTACATTAACAATATGTGGCGAGCTAAATATAAAAAATATTGCTAAATGAATCCGAACTAGAGTCAAGGAACACCACATTTACTTATTCCATCAACATGACCACCTTTTACATGACAGATGATTGGGAAAAATACAGTTTTTATCCCTCAAGTTTGCACTGATGTCACATTTGGTTCGTTATGTTCATAAAAAATACATTTGGTCCCTCATGTTTCAAAAATTAAACACTTTTAGTTATTTCTGTTAATTTTCCGTTTGTACTAACGGAATCAAGCGTGTACCCCATCATTTCCTTAATACTATCCGACTGGCGTTAAATGAACGGAAATGACAAAAGTGTTGAATTATTGAAATATGAGGAACCAAATGTATTTTTATAAACATGATGGACCAAATGTGAGATCGGCGCAAACTTGAAGTATGAAAACTGTAATTTTCCTACACATGATTATATATACTTGACCATGTTAAGTATCATTTACTTATAAAAGGTGTTCAAAAGACATAAAACTCAAATCATTAGACATTACGCTCTTTACACTAGTTTATACAGTGTAGTTTGTACTACACTGGGTGAAATACACCACGTAAGTTTTTACCATTCATATACATCAACACATATACATTTATATATATTGATGTGTGTAGATCAACGGGAAAAAAAACATCCAATGTAACATCTACTAGACGTAGCATATAATTAACCCTTTATACTCCATCCATTAAATTAATAGCCATTGTGGGCCTCAAAATTGAATATTTGATTTTACTAATAAAAGTGTAACTTATATTATACATGATGCTCTCAACATTATTATGCATAATATTCTCAGCATCTTTATAAATTTGCCCCAACTTTTTGTTCAAAAAGCAAAAATATCCCACTACGAGGAAATACAATAAACCTCCAAAAAGAAAAAAAGTGTGCTTGTATAAATTAATATTGAAGTTATGGAAATTGCACATTTACCTCGTTTCCATCATTATTCTTGCTCCAAAAGGCGAAATCCCTCGCCCCCAGGGCCCCCATCCCTTGGCCCGACAAGGATTTTCCATCATTATTCTAATACTACGAGTACTTGCTTTCATTTTAAAATACTTAACAGGGAATCTTTTTATTATTACTTTTGGACTTTTCGATGAATTCCAAGAGGGTGTTTGGCGAAATTTAGGGAAAATTACTATGTTTACCACTCAAGTTTGCATTTATTTCACATTTGACCACTCATGTTCATAAATAATATATTTGGTCCTACAAGTTTTAATAAATTAACAGTTTTGGTCTTCTCCGTCAATTTACCGTTAGTCTGTCAGTTAAGGTAGTGGTGGGCACATACTTGATTCCGTTAGTTTTAACATATACTTGACGAAAAAGCCTAAAAATGTTGATTTTTTCAAACATGAGGGACCGAATGTGTATTTTGTGAATATCGGGGACCAAATGTGAAATTGGTGCAAACTTGAGGGATAAAAACTGTATTTTTAAAGTTATAACCTGTTAAAAAGAGTTTATATGATGTTTAAGAGATTATAAACTCTTCCAAAGTATTTGGTAAGTTTGTTAAAAAGATCTTAAAAATTTCAAAAAATAATTAAAAAAAAAAGTTCATTTATCTGATACTTTTATTTATGATCTTATAATGAATAAAAAAACAACATATAAATTCATTATCCCAATACTTTAAAAATTAATTCTAAAAATAAGACGTAACAACTTATCATCTTTTGAAATAATTTAAAAGACGTAAGAGTTTATCAGTTGTTCAAAATAAGTTTAGCCAAACGGGACAGGAAGGTCAATTCTAATTGGCCACCTCCTTTTCAAGGGATGTTTTGGTTATTTTCATATAAAATGTGGGCCTCCAGTAAAGTTGTAAAGGTAGAGGGGCTGATTTGCAATTTTCGTTAGTTATAAGCAATTTTTATAGGGTTTTTTTGTGATGGGTCAATTAAATGTTTCTTCACAGCTGGGGAACTAAAAGTCAATTAACTTGCTTTCTTGCCAATTTATTCCTACAAGTGTACATCAATTAAATTTAATTAAGATACACTTGCATTAATAGATTTAATGTGTGTCTACCGGATTGCATGAATAATGTATTTAATGGCTTAATCCCATTTTGCACCCTTACATCATACCATTTTGTCACTTTACACCTTCAAAATAAATTAATAACACTTTGTACCATGGAAAAACGATATATCATGCATAATGCACCCTAAGTGAATTTTTAGAGTTAATTAAAGTAATTTAATATTTTTAGTGGTATTTTTAGATTATATTTTTTTCGCAAAAATATATTTTACGAAAAAAAACCTTCAGTTATTTTGTTATCAAGTTATCTGAAAATCATATTTTCTTTTAAATATTTATACCTAATATTTTCCACCAATTACAATAAAAGATCTATCAATCGATTAATTTAGTGAATAAAAGTTTATTTGATTTTATTTTGTAAGATTTGTTTTTTCAATTATCTGGTGTGATTTTTATTTTTCCCCCCTGTGCGTTTGAAATTAGGTTGGAGGTTGAAGAAAATAACAATTTAATTTGTTAGTTTGCACCCCGGAAAACGAAAAACCAATAAAAATGAATTATCATTTATTATTTTATTCATGGTCTTGTGAATGATTTATTATGTTTTGAGAGTGCAAAATACTATTATTATTTCTCAAGGATGTAAATGGCCAAAATGCTCCATTTCAAGGGTGACAGTAGGATTATGCAGAAAATCAACTTTATATATATATATATATATATATATATATGTATATATATATATATATATATATATCTTATATATAAAGAAAGAAACGCTGGGCAACCCTAACAAAACCCTAATGGTATTTCTGTAATTATTTATTTTTAATATTTTTTCTCTACTATTTCTAAGTATAATTTTCAACAATTTATCAAAATTAAAACTAAAGCGTGAAGAATCCTACCTTAATGGTACATCTGTAATTATTTATTTTTAATTTTTTTTATCTACTAATTTTCTAACCACAATTTTAAACAATTATCAATCTCATATTAGTGCACTATATTTTCTTATTATATATTAAATTGATTATTTTTTTTCACTTTTGAGATAATATCCCGTGCATCGCACGGGGAAAAAATGCTAGTATATATATATATATATATATATATATATATATATATATATATATATATA